CACTCACTCTCTTGCGACATGGCCGGGCTTGATATACTCCTCTGCAGTATCGGTGTACATTAAGAATCTACATCCCTGGTGGGGTGGAAGGACATAAATAAGTCGCGTCTGGAGAGATAAACCCTAATAATCTTTCTTGTGGTTGAGAAGGAGAACTAACTAGGCTTCTTCAGAGGCATCGGCTGGCTTCTCCCCTCCTATAACTACCTCCTCATCCTGCTGCTTTTGTTGCAGCTGTTCCTCGGCTTCCTCGCGCTGCAGCTGTTCGCGCTTTAGCTGCTTCCTTCCCTTGGGCTTGTCGGTTTGCATGGGCTGATCGACGCGGTGCGGGGGCCATTTGTCGCGGCAGTTCCGCTCGTCTTCCGCGGTCCACTCGCGCGGCAGGACGGCGAAGACCAGGTAGGAGGTGTGGGTCTTGAGGTTATCTTCAGTGCGGTGGACCAGACGGCCTTGTTTGTACAGCGGGATGTTGCTGGATGAGGGCGCAGCTTGTTCCTCCTTTGCGGGGACAGCCGCTGCTCCCGAGGACGCCGGCACAGGGGTGGTGGTGGCGGCGGTGCTATTATTATTGTTATCCTCATCCTCCAGCTGCTGCTGCAACTCGCGGTACTTCCGGGAGTTCTCCTCGACGTGGCGCATCTTGAAGACGGCCTCGTCGACGGACTTGGGGAAGACGACGGCGCCGCGCACCTTCTCGTACTCCAGCCCGACCTTCTCGCGCTTCACGTCGATCCGGTGGTTGTTGACCTCCACCATCGAGATGTCCAGCCACGACAGCTGCCGCAGCACGCTCACCGTCCGCTGCACCTGCTCCAGGCAGGGGGAGAATGTACACAGGTAGACCGGCGACGTCGGGTCCAGCGGCGACTCGGCGCCGGACGCCGGGTGCCGCACGAGGTGCTTCAGCGCGAGCCAGGGCGCTGGCAAGTCCAGAAACACCGCGTTGGCCTTGGGGGGCGTCCCCGTCTGCGCATCCCCCACGAGGAACCCGTCCTGGTAGACGTCCCGGTGCGTGACGTGCACCAGTCCCTCCAGGCCGTGTTCCTTCAGCTCTTGCCGCACCTTGCCCACGCGCTGTTCGTGGAATTCGAAGCTGGAGACTTGACCGAGTCGTTTCTTGTTGGGTGGTGAGGAGGTGGAGGGTGAGGATGAAGGGGGTGGTGGTGCATCGGCGCTCTCGTTTGTTGACGTTGGCGTCGTGGGGTATCCGTTGAAGACCGCGCGGACGGCCGCGTGCGTGAACGAGCCACTGCCCGCGCCGGCCTCGATGATCGAGCTGCCCGGCCGGGCGCGCAGCCGGTGCAGGATGTAGCTGTAGTCCGGGGTGTAGACGACCTGGGTGCGATGCGGCAGGGACATGGTCCACAGCTCCGGGGTCGGGTAGACGAGGTGCAGGAATCCGCTGGCCGCGGCGACGGCGGCCTGCGGCGAGGCCGAGTGGCTGTCGTTGCCCTCGGCCGTCGGGGTGCTCGCGGCGGAGTCATTGTTGCTGTTGTTGGTGAGTTCGTCCGCTTTGCGCTTCAGCTGCCGGTTCTTCTTCTGCGGGCCGCGGCCGCGGCGCGACCCCGTGTCGACCTTCGAGGCGATGATCTGCGACCCCCATGGTTGGCCGGTGAGGGTGGTGTGCGGGAAGGAGCCGAAGCGCGTGGTCGTCACTTTCCCTTCCTTGTAGCCGGCGTTGTCTTCGTCGTGGAGCTGGAGCACGGTCGGGATGGCTTGGTCGCGGCGGAGGTGGAGGAGGGCCAGCTGGTTGAGCTGCGAGTGGGAGCCCGGGGTGAGAAATGGTGAGGCCATTTTTGAGTGTATGTGTGGGCCGCCGCTTGGGAGCGAGGATTGGGCCTTGGGATATAATGGAAGTGTCCCCGTCGCCGAATTGGGCTTCTTTCTTCGACTTCTTCGACTTCTTCAACTTCTTCAACTTTCTTCTGCGACGGCGGCGTCACTTGCTGAAGATCCTCCGCTCTAGCCTCGATTGGGAGACTGGCTTAGGGCTTAGGGCTGCAGCTGTGGAAGGCGGTGAAGAGTGGCGGGGCGACAGCGCTGATTGGCTACCTTCGGCTGTCGGCTGTTTCTACTTTCCAGCGTTTCGCTATCAAGGACGTTCCTATAGTTCACTGCAGAGACTCTTGATAATGGGATACATAGTCATTCAATTCTTGCACGTTATGGACTCAATACTACTCTTCCTCTCTTGATCTTGGGGAATTTGAATTCCAAAGGGGAGGCGCTGTGATCTCGGAGGTTTCCATCCATCATCAGATGAGCTCGTCCATCACATGCTGCAAACCCCCCGAAAGGGTCGATAACACGGTGAATACTTGGGGTCAGGAACTAGAAAGAACATACCAAGAACGTCCAGAGTCAAGAAGGTCTGGCCTAGTCTCACATTTCGTGGTAATTAATCCAAACCTGGTCATACATCCATGCTCACTGGCCTTTGTCTAGGCATGTCGCCTCTTTCTATTACTGATCATCAACCTCGGGGCGCTGAACCTCGGCAACTTGGCTCTTCCCCACAAGGGGTCTCGTCTCCAACGTCTTAACGCGGCCTTCCCCAGACTCTCCCCAACTATCCAGGACTGCTAAACTTCGGATTTTGCCTTGAAGATAGAGATTTTTGATTGCAGTTCTTACTCAGTGCTTTATCGCCCCACTTGGAACCATCGCAACGTTTACCCATAATAGTCTAGCCGGTGAAATCGGTCGTCCGTCAACATGCCTTTCAACACCTTGCTTACGAGGAAACTAGGCATCACAGGTACGTCCGGGATCAACAGACTGTCTGGCTCACCTGCTGATTATCTCAAGTCCCGGTTGTCCAGGGAGGTATGCAATGGGTTGGATACGCTGAGCTCGCGGCGGCAGTCAGCAACGCAGGCGGTTTGGGAATTGTACGTATCCGCGATCGCCTCTGAACCAGAATACGAAATCAAGAAAGACTAACCCATGGAGAACCTACTCAGCTGACTGCCCTCACACAACCCACCCCCGAAGACCTCCGCAAGGAAATCCACAAATGTCGAGCCATGACCAAGAACCCCTTCGGCGTCAACCTGACCCTGCTCCCCGCCCTCGTTCCCCCCGACTACGCGGCCTACGCGCAGGTGATCATCGATGAGGGGATCAAGATCGTCGAGACAGCCGGAAATAACCCGGGCCCCGTGATCCAGCAGCTCAAGAAAGCCAACATCATCGTCCTGCACAAGTGCACGACGATCCGCCACGCCAAGTCCGCCATCAAGCTGGGCGTTGACTTTCTGTCAATCGACGGATTCGAGTGTGCGGGCCACGTCGGCGAGAACGACATCACCAACTTCATTCTCCTCAGCCGCGCACGCCAGGAGCTCAAGGTGCCGTTTATCGCCTCCGGAGGATTCGCCGACGGACAGGGGCTGGCGGCGGCGATGGCCCTCGGCGCGGAGGGCATCAACATGGGAACCCGGTTCATGTGCACGGTCGAGGCGCCCATTCATAACAACGTCAAGGAGGCGATTGTCAAGGCGGATGAGACGGACACGGCGTTGGTGATGCGCCGCTGGACGAACACGACCCGTCTATTCGGGAATAAGGTCTCCAAGGAGGCTCTGAAGGTGGAGCGGGAAAGCAAGACGGGCGAATTCAGCGAGATCGCCCCCTTCGTGAGTGGCAAACGGGGCCGTGAGGTGTTCCTGACCGGTGATGTCGATTTTGGGGTATGTTGTTCCTCTGCTACCCTCTCTCCTTGCGATCCTCAGACGCCGGCTAACTTCATATCAGGTGTGGACTGCCGGCCAAGTCATCGGAATGATCCATGACATCCCGACATGTGCTGAGCTTCTGGAGCGGATCGAGAAGGAGGCCGTCCAGGCATTGGATCGGGTGAAGTCGTTGCACACAGCAACGGTACAGAGCAAGCTGTAGAATAGTCAACCTGGTTGCTAACTGGCCGGATTGAGAGGGTTACTACAGTACACGCGGGATATGTATTACGTTTAGGTCTTTATGCAAGGAATTAGACATCATCTCCAAGATTCTTTTTGTGGTATAGTCTGTTTTTCCCGTCAGATGTGCCCACACGCGCGCTCACCCTTGCAGAGCAAAGAGCTCTGTCAAGGGATATTGGAGGAAGGGGGGATGATGAACGAAACAAAGTGTCTCGCCCTCGCCCATCGCCTTGCGACCAGTCAAAAGTAGCACGATGATGCCAAAACGCTCTCCTTGATCATCACCGTGGACATGATGCATACCCCGCGATGATGCAGCTGGACCCCTCCTTACATGCCTCTCTCAATACGCCGGAGAATTGCGATCGCCAGTGTACTGTACTCCGCATCAGCATCATTGTGTTATCTTGAAAGCACTAACCTAGCAAATAAGAGCTTCTGGCGCGTGTACCGAGCAACGAGGTTACAAAGCAGCTCCCCTGGATAACCGCTCAGGATACTATACGGTCATCATCATCGTATCCTGGTCTTACCCTCCTTGCAGCTATTCAGTCAAGGTCTAGACTGGACGCTGTGATACTTTGTTCTACGTCCGGCTCGCTGACTAGAAGCCTCTAGGGATTGATCGTCTGCTCGCAATAAAGCCTTTTCGGTATCTGAGACCGGCGAACTAGCCTCCCCGTATAGTGGCATCACGATGCTATCACCACCTTACCACCAAAAGCAGCAGGGGTATACTCTGCTCGACAAGATCTGTATCTCGCCTATCGCAATCACGCACTCATACAGGGGTCAAAGCAAAACTTATCCTGGTCTCCAGAACCCCCCAGCGTCCGTTAATCTAACCGAACTCAATAAATCTCCCTACGACCTCAAGACGAAAGATCGAGTTTGGAACTCTATCCCCTTCCCCTCCCCCCCTGTCCCGTGAGCATCGATCTCCCCGACAACGACCACAAAAGAAAGGAAGGAGAAACCCAAATTCAGCGTTGAAACAACAAGTCCCAGCGGGGTAGTCACCAGGAAGAATCACGGAGGAATATTTCAACAGCACCCACCCCCCGACCCGAAATAATCATGACAAGATCAAGCGTGAACTCCGACCTCATGCGTCGACCCCGAAACATGGGAGTACTCTCCACGCTCTTACTGCCCTGCATCCAGGTGCGCAAGCTGCGCCGCTCGCGCCGCCAACGTGATCACCACACCTCGTGGTCCTGCGCGGGAATCGCCGAGTTTGAGGAGCAGCACCAGCAGCACCAGCAACAGGGAACTACCGAGAAAAAACTTCATACCCGCGATACCGAGGGGTACACGGAGCTGTCGAGCTTCCCCGAGAAACCACAACCCGCCGCGACAATGACCGCGACAACGTTGACGCACACGAAGTCCATTCGCCTGGTCAGCTGTGCGGACTCGGAATGCTCGACGCTGGGGCCGGACGATGGCCCGATTCTGGAGAAAGATGACGAGGCCGGAGACCAGGAGCGCGAGGATTTCCTGGCGGGCAAGGAGAGCGCGTCCGAGAGTGGGAATGCGACGCTGTTGTCGCTGTTGTCGGATGAGGAGACGGATGTGGAACAGTCGGGTGGTGGTAGTCCGCCGCTGGTGCAGAAGATCATTGCCATGGAGGTGGTCCCGTCCTCGCGGCCGCCGTCGCGCGCTGGTGCTGGCGCTGGCACGCCCAAAAGCAAAGATGATCTTGATCTGGAGCTGGCGAGTCGGCGGGTCCCCAAGATTCAGGAAGATCGACGGCCCCGGCCGGCGAGTATGCAGGTTCACTCGACTGGGGGCGCGTTGAAGCTTCCGGAAATCAAGAGCCGAGTGATCGACGATATTCCGGAGGATATTGAGGAGGATGTTGTTGGCGTCAGGGTCCGGCCGTTGAGGCAGGCGGCGAGGAAGAGTGCTCTTCTGAAACCGACGGTGGTCGAGGGGGAGGACGACGACGACGACGACGAGAACGATGACAAGAAACGGTCCTCGACCTGGCGCCTCAGTCAACGCAAGTCCATGATCGAGCTGTTCAGTCTGCTTCAATCCACCGCAGCTGCCGTCGCCGCGGCCCCCAAGTTCTCGAACCTCAAACTGCCTCTCACGCAGAGGTCGCCCTTCCGCTTCTCCACCAACGCCGTCGTCGATGCATCGCCCTCATCGGTATACTCCACGACAGCCACGACAGCCACCACCACAACCTCACCATCTCGACCACCAGCAGCAGCAGCAGCAGCAGCACCCAGCACCCCGCCCAAGAAAACCAAACTCCCCTCCCCACCACCGCCCACACCTCCCCCGAAATCCCCCAAACAACTCCTCCAACAACGGCCCCTCCCGCAAACCCCGCAACGCAAGCCCCGACACAGCAGCTTCCAAGAGCAAATCTCACCTCCCACGGCCACCTACCGCACCAGCCCAAGCCCAAGCCCCACCAAGAAACAACGCCGAATGGGCACCGTCCTCTTCCCACTAACCTCGTCCTTCCGTCCCACCAGCGGTGGGAACAACAACCCAAGCGTGACGACGACGACAACGACGACAACCATCCCTGAGTCCCCATCCCGTCGTCAGTCCCGTCACCAAACACAAAATCAACAACAAAAATCCAATGCACAGACTCTTTTTTGCTAGCCACGGAGTTCGGGGTACCGGTACAGGGGTTCGGGTTATGTTTTGTTGGTGTCTATGGTCTCTCTCGGGGGGGTTGGTAGCCTCTTTCTTAAGGGCGTTGTTCTTCTGCTCTTGATGCGCCAGCTTTCATGGGAGCGACTTTGGGCTTGAAATGAATGTAAACTACATAATCCCCATGCGTCACTTTTTATCTCTGGGGGTTTCTCTTCTCTGGTGTATTTATTTGTTCTGAGATGATTGTATCATCTGTTCTTGTTGGGTTGTTTACATTCTTTCTTCGTGTGTGTGTGTGTGTGTGTGTGTGTGTGTTGGTTATGGGGTTAATGTTATCCGATGGTTGGGTTGGGATTGTATCTTCGGAGGGCCTGTATTTCTGTATGAGTTACTGGGGGCTTCGGAGTGAATCTCTCCGAACGCATCAGCTACCGAGTTATCACCTTTTTTGGCCTGAAGATGAACTAGACGGAACTGATCTCAAGAGAGAAGAAGAACAGAGGGGGATGACGGGATCTTAGAGATGAGCGCCATCATCCGTCTTCTTTTGTATACTACATACTACATACTCCATACACCTATCTGTATTAATGGCACGCAGGTAGCGTGAGGTCATTGAGGTATTGAATCCAAGAGAACTTCTTTCGGGGTGTACTTATTCTCTTTCTTTTCGGGAGCCGTGGTTATGGACAAGTAGCATGGAACATGACTGAATGGCACTTAGCAGTTCATACTGTCTGCCGGCATTGTCTACTGTCTACTGTCTAGTTTATAATGGACTCCGATGAGAGGCTGAGTTCCGCTGGGTTCCGATGCGCCTACTACCACTATGTATGAGGACAGCCGCATGTATGCTGATATGCCCTAAGAATCTCGGTAATCTCAGTAGATCTAGCCTATGCAGGCATGGTGCAGGTTTAAAGATCAGTGAGAGTGAAACTGAATGAGGGTGGTGGACAGAGAGATTTTGTCTGCTGGGGGCATGTAAGATACGATCCGGCTTGTTAGTTCTGGGTGTGATTCTGTAGGGAGGATCGAGCAACTACCGCTACTAATGTTAGGCTACTATGGAACTAGGATTAGTGGTAATTGGGGCGGGGGGGGTTTATTGAGGGCACGACTTGGTTGTTAACAGCGGGTAGGAGGTAGATAGATCAATTGATCGAGAGTTCGTCTGGGGAAAAGCTACCATTGTGTAGTCCACGGTTCGGTCTAAGTGATATTGAGGGATTAAAGTCAGTGCTTGAGCGAGAGCTCCAGTGAGGGTGGGTGGGGATTGAGCAATTAAGATCATGTGGAAAGTATCGGGAGGTTTGATTGGATCCAGGGGAGATAGTGAGAAATATGTGACGGGGAAGTTTGGACTGGATGCATTGTTCACAGTGTGGCTGAGAACCACGAGCTACAGAATACAAGTCTGCAAGAAATCAGGTAAAGCAAGTCTAATGCATTAAAGCTAGATGCCACGACACCGGCACTGACGCACCGGGAAATGCACAACTAATGATCAGATCATAGTTCCAAAAAGCAAAAAAACACGAATCTTCTTTCTCCGAGAGTGCCACAGGCGCACAATTAATGGTACATCATCTGCTCAAAACAGGAATAGATCCATAATCCTCCTAGACTGGAAAATCACAGGGCGACCTGTTTTCCTAGCCCCGATCCATGGCCCCGAAGGGCTTGACGAATAGTGGCCATAAGCAAAGACTGAACCCGCTTACAAGATAGAGCCGAGGGCAATGCAGGGCAGGGCAACGCCGATGAGAGAGTCGCTCTGTGGAGGATGTTAGAAGCTGGGATTGGGGGATGTGGCGCAAGAAACTCACGGCGTCCGAGGGGGAGCCCTGGCAACAGGCGATGTTCTGCTTGCACTGCTGGTTGACAAGATCCTGGAGAGGGATGCCAATGATGGGGACTGCGGGTCGTTAGTTGAGGGTCTGATGCAAACACTCAGGAAAGTGAACGTACTCTGGAGATCGAGCTTGGAGCACTGGTCGAAGAGACCGAGACCCTCAGAGCCGGAACCAGTACCAAGGAGGTTGCCGAGGGTACCAGCGAGGATACCGTCGTCGATGGTGGTGGTGTCACCGGCGTAGGTGGCCTTGTTGCAGCAAGACAGCTGAGCCTGGTCACCACACTTGGCGGAGGCCTGCTTGACGGTCACGTCGTCAGGAACGGGGAAGCGGACATCGCTGTTGCCCTTGTTGCCGTTGCCGTTGCCGACACCAAGGTTGCCGTTGGCCTCGGGCTTGCTGGGCATGGCAGCGACGGTGGCGGCGAGAGCCAGAACAGCGGCGGAGATGGTGAACTTCATTGTGACTGTGGGGTTGGATTTGAACGAGAGAGTGAACTCGGAATGAATTGTATGTATAAAGAACGGTAGGTCTGTAAGAGACTGGAGAGAGGGAATGCTCAAGAGAGTGATTGTGTGATGATGGAAAGAATCGACTGGAGGGCAACCTTCACCACCCTTATATAGACTTTCGTGGACACCCTCGAGCTCCCAGTCCATACACTGTCGCGTCTAACAAACCGCAAACCGGTGTCTTGCACAGCAGCATCCTCAGCATCCTCGGCATGCCCCTTGTGGAATGCAGCATGCAAGGACGGTGTTCGCCGTCCTCGTTCCTGAGGATCCATACTTGGCTCGGTCCCACTCCCTGGGCCAAGAGCTCCCTCTCCTCCAGCAAACGGTATGGATCTGCCCCAAGATATCGCCTCTGATTGCTTGCTTGCAGCCAGTTCATACTGCCGCGCTGCTTTCCAGCTCAGACACAGCACCTTTGCAGGATAGCTGGGGTACATTGCAGCGAGGCTAATGTCTCATTCCTCCTACCCATTCAAGTCGATCGTCACACAATCTCTTGCCAGCACACGTTCGAAAGTGCATGATCATGCATTTCCCTTTCATTAAGATTCTTACCCTTCCTTGTTGACTCACCCAAGCAACCACCCAGATCTGCACTCCAAACACTGCCTCGAGAACAACCCGAGGTCAGCCACTTTCCGCCACCGTTTCTGGTCGTGTGCCCTTGCCACAAGCCCTACGGCCCCAGTCGTCCCTTGTCGTAATCCTCACGCCTGCCTCCGAAGACGCTCGTGCGGAATGCGGGTGGCGTGGCAAGCATTGTTGGGCTGGGGGTCGACCCTCGAGTAAGGTTGCAGGACATATGCAATAGCATGCTTTGGGCTGCAAGGGGGGGGGATCCCGGTCAAGATCGAGGGTCTGTCAATCAATCCCTTTCTTCTTTGTTTTTTCGCCCTTCCAAACACATACCCGGAGCTTCATGTCCATGTGGGCGGAGAGAGAGGGGCCTCTGTAGCGGTGGGAAAGACGCAAGGGGTGCAAGATTAACTAGTTGCTACCTAATTTCCGCGTGCAAGGACAAATCGACCCTGTTCGCGGAATTTCTTGCCCGTGCCCGTGAATCTTCATCTTTTGATTCGTGTCTCGGACTGTGCAATTCCTTTCCTTGGAATTTGGGTTCTCGGACAATGAACCTGGACTTGGTTGTCATGGGCAGCGGACTCGGTTTCATTAATGGATTTGAGACACATGACGAGGCCGGATGGTAGATCCTTGTTTGCGGTGTCGTTTTGGGGGGCTGCTGGCTGCTCTGACCGCAGGATGGCTCATACTTGGGCTGAGTTGGTGGACTTTGGCGTTCAGCGGTGAATTCGATCTTGATTGTGGTGCAGATGCTGGTTTGTTGTTCGATGGGGGTTTGGAGTTGGGGAACATGTGATCCTCTTCCTCTTCCACTTCCTGCCTGGGTGCCTGGGTGCCTTTCTGCCTCGACTCGATCGTGAGGCATCAGTCCTGGTCAGTGGACAGTAGATTAGCATGTACGCATCTACCATAGAAAATTTGCATACAAAAGTTGTCAGTTTCAGTGTTTAGGGTCCTTGGTCACAATTATTGGGGACATGCTCGACAAGTTCACATCATTGTTGCCGGTGTGTTATGGCGTCGGATATATGATGCTTGTGCACAGATGTATATATATATTTCCTACTACTATCTGCTAATGCCTCTTCTGACTACCCACTGCGCCAGTACAAATGATTAACAAACACAATGGAATCAAACCTACACTTCGATCCAGTTTTATTCTCCAAAGAGCGAATGGCCATCCAGGCAGTTATAGCGATTCACTTCAGTTGATTATCTCTTGATAATTGAGAGTATCAAAATTCGGGAGCAACTCAGCTAGTAGCCTTGAAAGGGCACAATGACATATGTTCTAGATGTACAGCACTAATTTCGCTAGAGATCTTGTACTCACAATTGGGCACAAGTAACCACATCCATGGAAAACAAGTGGATAAAAAGTAGCCTAGCTACCACCCATGCCTTACCAAAACTTCGAACCGACCCAAAGCTAAGCGTGTCACATGTTCAATCCTCGTTCATAAAACCCCTCATATGATGACCTGAGGACGCAGAAATGCATATTTCCGCGCGTGGGCTGGATCGGTCTTTCCCGATGATCAAGCCTGGTCGTCGAAGCAAGGGTGAGCCTGGGCAGAACTGTTGCTTTGACCTGAGCATAAGCACAAAAGTCTTATACATTGCTGACATGTTTATGTCTCTTCAGGTGTATGAATGCCAGGGGAGTGGTTCCTTTGGACGGACAGTATGGGCCTTGTCGTCTCGTAGGTCGCAGCAGGACTGGAGATGCAATTGTGGCTCTTGGTGAGACCTCATATTCATCATATATATAGTTATGTCTGAGCAGCTTAGCCGATGATAAAACTTTCAGACTATGGGTTCGGTTTTGTGAAAGTTAACAGAAACTTGATAATCTTTGGGCGAGCCTTAGTATATATTCCAAGCTGGCCATCACATTAGCTTTACTGAAGACTGAGATCAGGAGATAAGTGCTACTTCACACTTGATACCTCCGAGATCTCTGATATTAGTATCTTATATCCGATTATGATCACAGTCCAGATTCATTTGACAGAGTCCAACAAGAGGATTAAGGTCATCATCATTGATACTAGGGAGGTGTCCCAACTACTTCCACCCCCACCAATCAGAAACCCCCGAGATCGAGTCACTGCCCCGGGACGCCCACTAACCGCAAACCAGCTAGCGTCTCATGCTACCCGACTCGGGGCCGCTCCGACTCTCCCAGATGAGCAGGCGGTCTGACGGGGCAGCTTTCGCTATCAGTTCCCCGATTCCTTCCACCATCTCTCCCTCTGCGCCCCCAATTCAGCTCCAGTGTACCAGAGAGAAGACAAGACTCTATTGAGAATCATATGCATCCAAAGGGTTGCTGACGCTCTCTGCCTCGAGCTTCTTCCGACAAAACACAGTCACTACGTGCATCACACGCACGAAAGGCAGAAAGAGAGAAAACGAGGAAAAAGAAAGAGAGCTAATCCCAGCATGTCCGCGACATCGCCGCAAGACGTCCCGGGTGGTGGCGTCGCGTCCACGGCCCCAGAGTCTCTCCCGCGCGATACAACGCAGGAGCAGGCGACTCCTTTGGATGTAAGCACGGAAGAAACCGCGTCCAGGAAAGAGGAAGAGGGGGCGGAACAAGCACAGCGGCAAGAGGAGGATGTACCCGGTCAAGAGGCGGAAGAGGGAGAGGTAGAGGGGGAATTGCGACAGGAAGAGGACGATTCGGAGAGAGAGGAAGGGGAGGAAAAAGAAGAAGAAGAAGAAGCAGCAGCAGCAAACCAACAAGGCACATCAGCTTCGGCGCCACCGTTACCAGACGAAGTGCCCCCACCGCTCCCCAACGAAGTGCCACCGGGCGACGACGATGGATGGGAACCCGTCTGGGATGCCAACGCCCAAGCCTACTACTTCTATAACCGCCTCACCGGGGTATCGCAGTGGGAGAATCCACGGGTACCCGGTGCCTCCGCCCCCGCCGCGTCCGCCGCCGGTGCCGTTCCCATTGACGACAACGGCGACGGCGACGATGATGACGAAGACGGCAGTATCCAGGAACAGCGCGCACGCGTGCTGGGTGGCTACAATCCCGCCATCCACGGCGACTACGACCCGACGGCGCCGTACGCGCAGCAGTACGAGCGACAGGAGGAGGCGGCCGTCGCCGGCATGGACCCGAATCAGGCGTACGAAGCGGTGGGCGCCTTCAACCGGTTCACGGGCCGGTGGCAGGCGGCCTCGCAGAACCCGGAGTATCACAACGACGAGAACAAGTCTAAGCGGCAGATGTATGCGTTCTTCGACGTGGACGCGGCGGCCAACAGCCATGATGGCCGCAGTCTGCGGGCGGAACGCAGCGCCAAGAAGCTTACCAAGGCGGAGCTCAAGATGTTCAAGGAGAAGCGACGGGAGAAGAAAGAGGAGAAGCGCCGCGCATGGCTGAGGGATTGACCTGTAAAAAGCTGGCCTCGAGTCGGATTCTTTTATGCTTATTCTTATGTGTGTTGTGTGCTGAGATACCTTTTCCCCGTTCTTTGACCTTTTTCTCGTTTCGTTTTTGTGTATGTCTTATGGTGACTAGCTTACATTGGCGTTTTATGTAATTCGCAAGATGCATAATAGAGTCACAATCGTATATATGAATTAGTTGATTCGTGCCTTGTAGATGGTTGAACTTATTTCGATGACTCGGGAAATGTATGAGGATACCGGATCAGGAGGCGGCGATTAAAGATAAGATCCACCGGGAATGGGGATGCCAGTCAGTCACCTGACCGGGCCTCAAAGTTCTCCCCATCAGAGGGACAATTGGGATAGCTTCACATTATCCAGAAGAGTTAGCGCCTCTCACATACTTAATTCCAAAGGTAAGACCTAGTCAAACTTACTGCTTTCCACCTGCCATACGCTTTGGAATCCCTAATCATCACTTTGTGTACATATGCCACTGAAAGTGAAGGGGAGGGAGGGGTGTATACCGACGAGAAGCGCAAAAAAAAAAAAAAAAAATTCCGAAAAGGGAAATATCAGAGGATTCCACCGCTATCATCTGGCTGCAAAGCCACATCGCACTTTTCGGGTGTCAAAGGGAAAAAAAAAAGCACGAAGCATGGCACTTTAAGAATCCAGCTATCCATTTCATCTGCCCATTCCCTTATTTTGTCTTATTCAATACACCTTCCCGCATCACATCCGGAAATCTTATACATAACGCAGACTAAGACTCGAATCGCTAACAAACCACCCAGATACCACATTTATCCATCCATCATCCTCTGAAGTAGAGTGAAAGCTTTTTGTGAAGCACCAAAGCCAAGATTTTCATCGTCAGTCATCAGCATTAGCACAAAAAGAAGCACAGCCGACCCCAACAATGGCTTCTACCATCACCCTCCCCGCCGACACGATCGACGACCTCATCTACGACGCCCGCTCCGGCGACCTGGCCGCCCTCAAGGAGGACCTGACGGCCAGCAGCGCCCAGTTCCCCGGCGTCTCGCTGGGCGCCCTCGTGGCCGCGGCCATCGACGCGGCCCCGGAAGCCGAGGGAGGCAGCGGATCCAGCCTGTTGCATTTCCCGGCCGCGAATGGGAATATCGGTGCGTAGTTGCCCGCCAAAGGTGCTTCGTGCTTGAAGCCTTGTCATGATATTGTTTTGTCATAAGGTCTAAACTGCAATGGCCCTTTCCCCCCCCCCCCCCCCTCACCACCTCTTCTCCTCTACTGGAATCATGGAGTGTCTTGCAGTGTGCCTGCCGGCCCTTCTTTGGAAAATGAGTTCCGGAAGAGTGAAATCCTGGAGTGCTGATGAGGCTACAGAGATCCTAAACTACCTCCTCACCCTCCTCGCGACGGAGGACGAGTCCACGCGCCGCCGCATCGTCAACCACCGCAACCACTCCGGCAACACGCCGCTGCACTGGGCGGCGCTGAACACGCACCTGGACTGCGTCAAGGCGCTCGTCGAGGCCGGCGCCGACAGCTCTGTCAAGAACGCCGCCGGGCTTGATCCCGTCTTCCTGGCTGAGCGCGCGGACTGGTCGACGCAGGAGGATGGTGCGGGTGCTGCTGAAACTGAGGCTGAGGCCGACCCCAATGCGGCGGCGGACCCCGGTACCATGTCCAAGGGACGACAGGTCGTGGAGTGGATGTTGAGCGCCGAGGTGGCGGCGGCCGGCGGGGATTCGGAGACGGTGGTGGCTTCGGCTGGGGTGCCGGTTACTGGGGATGGGGATGAGTAGAAACAATTCGAAGAATTGTTCGGTGACCTTCTTCTCATGAAATGCTTACATGATGTTGTATTTGATTCTTTTGTATGGTTAATCCTAGGGTCCTTTGTTTGTTCATGTTGTATAGAATTCTTTTTTTTTGTGGTATCATAAGTTTTATACAGTGGGCAAAAATGTTCATTTCGGTCACGCTGTCTATACTTGTGCTTTGAAATGTGTGTTTGGTGTCTCGTCTAATGTCTTGCGGACCGTAACTTTGTGATATCATCAATGCAGGTGGGTGTTGATAGAGGTAAGTAAGTAGGAGATAGGTAGATAGGCGCGCAAATCATGCCGTCAGGTTCCATCAATCTCGTCGTGTCTTGTTTCGATCCTGTGACGCAGCCGACGGGCTGGATCGTAACGACGAGAGACCCGGTATCGTGCTTGTCGTGGCACCGCCATCGACAATCTCGCGCACCCGCATGTCGAGGCCGACCCGAAATCGACGGTCCCGCCAGGTCACGGTGACCCCTCCGTAAAACGCCCAGACCCAGATCGGCAACGCCAGCACCTCGCGCCCCAGCCAGGCGGCCAGCCAATGCAGGAACGGACGACGGGTGGTGTTGCTTTGGGAGGGCGGTCGCGCGAAGGACGGGGTATCCTCGTCGAGCTCGACGGTGCGGCCCGAATGCAGCATGAGATAGACGAGCCAGTCGGTGACGATCCAACCGAGCATGCTCAGCCCGAAGCACGCCCAGAACGCGGGCCAGGTGGCCAGCATCGCTTCGGCCGCGGGGTACCCCTTCCGGCCCAGGAATTGCGCCAGCGCCGTCGTGACCCCCCACGCGCCGTAGCACGAGCACAGGATCGACTCCGTCCCGGGCTCGACCAGCGTCGCCAGCAGCACGGTGAACTTGCGCACCCGGAGCCACCGCACCCGGCGGGCCACGTACGACTGCACGCTCATGTTGGCCACGGGCTGGAAGGCCAGGTCCCCGAACACCATCGCGTGCTTGCCCCACCGCTGGCCCAGCTCCTTCTCCTCGCGCACCGCACTCTTCCACAGCAGGTCCCCGATCAGGTGATCCTCGCAGATGTTGTCGGAGAAATAGTCGATGCCCGGATTGCGTCGTCGTCGCCGATCCGCGGCCGCCGCCGACGGTGGTGCTGCGGTCAGGTAGTCCAGATGCGAGCGGCGGAACATGTTGGACTTGCCCACGATGCAGGGGGCGATGAGCACGGTGTTGATGGCGGTGTACATTTTCGCATGCGACGACGACAGGAACAGCTCCTCCAGCCGGCCACCCCCGGTCGTCAGAGGCCCGGCGGCGGCGGTGTCCCCGCGTTCCAAGCCAGCAGAAGCAGCAGCATCATCATCCCCGCCGTTCGTGTAGGACTCACGCAGCGCCTCTTGCTCCCCTTCCCTTCTCCTCCTCAGACCTTCCGATCCCGTCACATCCACCGCGACAGGTAGGTGATGAACGAACTTGTACCGTTTGCCGCCGCCGGCGGTTGTCCCGCACAACTTATCCACCATCCGGCCACACACCCCCTTTCCCACCCAGACATTACAGTCAATAATCCAGACGATATCGCCCTTGGCTTCCCGGTAGGCCCGACTCATGTTCCGAATCTTCGGGTTGGGACCCAGCTCGTAAGCGGGAGCAACATTACCGGAATGCTGCTGCTGCTGAAGGAGCGGGTCGTCGTCCTCAACGAAGATCCGCGCGTCGGCGTGGGGGAAGTCCGCCACCAGTTTCTGGAGGGTCGGGTAGGCGGGGTCGTTCTTCGAGGAGATGCAGAAGTAGACGGTCAGCTTGTCGCGGGGGTAGTCCTGGCGGAAGGTCGAGGCCAGGCATTCGTAGAGGTGAGGCTCGAGGCCCTTGACCGGGCGGATTGCGGTGATGTGAGGGGCATCATTTGGGGAAGCGGAGGAGGTGGTGGATCTATGGGGTTTCTGGAGGCAGAGTTTCCATCTGATTTGCGGTTAATAATTAGCTTTTGGTGTTGAGGATGAAGTTAAAGAGTGGATGTGTTCGGGGGGGGGGGGGAAGGTGTTTTTTTGTTGGAACGTACATCTGATAAGTGCCCAGCGAGCAGACCAGCGTCACGGTAGTATACCAGACCAGTCCGACCCAGCCCGCGACGACTGGCCATTGGATGTCGCCGTGGCGAGTGGCCAGTCCAAGCTCGGAGGCAAGCGACCGCAGGTGAAGCGTCAACATAGGCAGAGGCAGAGGCAGAGGTCGGTAGCAACAACAAGGTCGTCCGACGAGGAACTCATTCTATGGGGTAAAGAAAAAAACAAGGGACTGGCGAAGCGAGTGACAGCAGGCAAGAGACAGAGACAGCACAAACACAAGTCCCTTTAGTCAACCTCAATGCGGTCTAGGACCAGACTGCAAGAAGGTCAGATTGCAATTCACAAGATGCTCAGTCAGTCAGTCCAAGCTGTAGCCTAGTTGCTCGATGGCTGAGTGAGGCTGAGATGCAGTTGCGAGTTTCCATTCGGATCTCACGGATTCCGGGTTCGGCGCGCGATGGATGGGCGGGGATTTTCCCGATCGTCGGGCGCATCTCGTCTGTTTGGTGCTTGATTCCTTGTACTGCACGCAGTACCCAGTGATGTCTGCTACCCCTGTCTAATTTCGAGTTTCATAGTTGCGTATTTTCATGTTTCATGTGTCAGAAATGCGTTGAAGTTGTTTTTATTAAGTAGCAGTAGTAGTAGTAGTAGTAGTAGTAGTAGTAGTAGTAGTAGTAGTAGTAGTAGTAGTAGTAGTAGTAGTAGTAGTAGTAGTAGTAGTATGCTAAATGGCCTGTTGTCCGTTCCGTGGCGCTGATATTCAAATTCCACGTTTAAACTCGGCCTCCAGTAGCTCCCTCCAAATCCTGCTAAAGACGAATAGATAATGAAAAAAAAAGCGATGAAATCCCAGTATGCAGTCCCTAGTAAAGCGCAAGCAAAACGCGAAAACAAAGAAAGGAAAGATCAACCCAGGCTGAGTATCCCAATATCCCCAATCCTACTGTACAGTTCTCAATGCCCATGCCTTATCGACCATCCTCGCTGCTCATCGTACTGTGCAAGACCATACGCTGAGCAAGCACGCCGCTCCGAGGTTACGTCTTCTTTTTCTTGCGGATCAAATTGGCTTGTAAAACATTGACCCCGGAAGTTGACTCAAGTATAGGGGTGGACACTGTTGCATCTGCCGGCGGTGCATTGGCGTCTGGCGCGGGCTCATCCGCCGTCTTCTCGATGTCTTGTGTTTGGGAGGGTTCATCTTCGACCTTCTTGCGTTTACGGACCAGCGTGCTGCTGATGAGAGTGTTGACCTCCGTAGTTTGCTGGGAAGGATTGTCGGTGCAGCCTCGGCCCAGGACCTGTTGCCCGACCCAGAGTTGGTCGGCAAGTGAGGCGATCTTCTCCCCCCAGGCTCTTGTACTGGCGATTGAGACCTCCTGGTTGAAGAAGTCCTGCTCAATCAAGAAGTCAATTGCCGCCTTGTAGTCGGCTTCGCTGAGCACAGCGTGGCCACGCCCTGCCTCAGGCCAGAAGAACGCACTGGCGTCTGTGGTGCGCTGCGCCGTGGACTCGGATACGGACAGGGTCTCAACCGTGGGTTCGGGGGCTGAGGAGTCTATCGGCTGTGCGACATTCGGGCCTGCTAAGGCTTCAGGTTGCTCCAACGAGGAAGCCAGAGCATCGTTGGATTGTGGCTCAGGTACTGTAACCGGTGCACGGGTTTCGGCATGTCCAGCACCACACGAGAGGGTCTTACGGTCACCCAGAACAGACCGGGAGCTGGTCATCTGGACGGAATTGACCAGCCCCGGCGGGTTGATGACGAGCCACAGGAACCCGACCAATCGTCCCGAAGAGCACTCCTGGCGGAAAGACATCATCTCCCAAAACTGATCCAGCGACTTGACACTCCGCCACTGACCGGGCGCCACCGAGGACTTCCCGTCGTCCCCGGACTGCGGGGAAAGCTCATCGTCCAGGTCAATCAGGAAGCGCGTCTTCGGGTCGTCGGGGAAGCGGGGGACCAGACAACGAGGCGGCGCCCTGGGGTCGTCGCAGAGCTGATGCAGAGGGTAGCTGTTGCGCCACCGGGGGCGTTCCTGGCCGTCCAGGCGAGCGGCACTGGGAAAGAAGCCCCGGGTTTCGAACTTGTCACACCCGGGGACTATCAGGAAGGCCGTGGCGGAGCTCTGCGCCGACTCCGTCTGTCGATCCAGGGCGTTCTTCTCGTGCGAGCCGGACTCCGGCTCGTACTCGCGGAGGATCGGGTCGAACACACGGCACCACCACTTGATCAGCCCCCGGTCGTCGAGGACATGCTTGCCCTCGTTCTCGATGCTGCCGGGGAACAGATACTGGTTCTGCGCGCGCGCGAACAGGGACACCACGAGGCGGACCCCCGGTCGCTGATGCGTGCGGACCAAGAAGGAAAGAAAGGTCTGCGAGATGCGCCGGAGCAGGGAGACCTTGGGGGCGTTCTGGAGTAGATGTAGGAACCCGGTCGAGTCGGCCTTGGAGACGAAAATCGTCGTCAGGTGCGCGGTGCTGTAGATCAACACCTCCAGCCCCAACACAATGATTTCGGCGCCATCCTTCCCCTCCGCGTCCACTGATGCGGTCAGAAAGTGATTCTCGCAAAAGGTGGGCTCGGAAGTCTCGCCGGGGGGTGCGGCGAAGAGCGCAGGGCAGGGAGTGGGAGTCGAGGAGACATGGCGAATGGTAAGCTTGACACCGGCGGGCAACACCTCGGCCAAGAGATCGCCTAATTCCACGTCGACCTGAGACATGGCTGGCCTAGAAAAGACCCTCGGGGTGGCCAGATCAACATAAGATGTCCAAGGGTGATTTTGGAGAGAATTGCCCGTCGGGTCTTTCTCTTGCGATTCCTTCTCCTGGTCTTTTTTCACCCCCTCAGACGCGTTCCATTTCACGGGCGCATCACGTGCCCGCAAGCTGACTCTTTTCGTCTGCTGTCAGCACTTTATCCCTCGCTTATCCCCAGAAGGCTTTCGATGGAATTTATCAGGTTTAAGAACGTCGGTTTATTGAGAGAAAGGTGAGAAGTGAGTGCATGAGTACAATTTTGCGCTTGCACAGCGGGAGCAGCTCCCACCAGCAGGAAATTCCAAGAAAGACCGCCAAAAAGCTGTCCATCCTTCCCTATCTATACACACCAAGGAGACTTAGAAGTAGCCCGCCACCGCCTCTAGATCGTCGGCGTTCAACAACGCAACCCCCTCCTCGAGCAACGCCCCCCAAATATTGTTTCGAGTACGGATCGGATAGTAAGGGGTACCCCAGTATCGCGCCCCGATTCCTCTCTTCTTAGCGGCTGCGATTTGCGCGCGGATGGCCTGGGTTTGGGTCTCGTTCAGCTCACTATGCGAAAGAGGACCCACGGCCGCCACGAAATTGGTTGACGCAATCGGGGAAATCAGACCGGTTACATCGGCGAATTGATCCTCGTCGAGCTGGTCAAGGGGTGCATCGAAGAAATAGTCTCGGTTTGCCACCGGCCCGACCAGATCAAGCGGCGTGTTACCGGTGCCTATCACTGTGACGGGCCCTTCGGTGATAGTCGTATTGTCTTTAAGAGTGCTCAAATAGCCACGAGCACGGAGTGGCTCCAAGGCCTTGATAACCGCAGCCAAGGTTTCAGGTCCGGAGGTCTTCAGGTCAATGAAGAAGTAAAGCGTTTGTGAGGTGTCAGTGTCGAAAACACCGCTGGCTGGAGTCAGCACAGGTCATTGCTGATGGACCATTGATCCAGAGTCATCAAGCGACAAACAAGCGAATCTTACTTTTTCGTGGGCGACGTCACAAACCGAGACGTGGGATTCTGGCGTTGAAGCACGTCCAAAATAGGGTTGATGTAGAGCGACTCCAGTGTTCGCTTTTCAGTCAGGGAAGACTCGTCATGGCCGACCTATTCGTGTCAGCCTCGCTCCAGCAAATAACGTAGAAGGAGACCGACATAGAGGGTGCCATTATACAGCCACACATCGGCTTCGGTCGATATGCATCCTTGCGATAAGCCTATGGAGATAAAGTCACTAAAGTGCCATAGACCGGTAGCATTGAGGATCATCTATACATACCCGAATAGAAAGGAATATCTCTCCAGTAGTCACTGGCACGGAGTTAAACATCGTACCTGCTTGGAGAACCGTCGATGCTGGCTTACTTGTGTGAATGGACTGGGATCTGTAGTTTGGTTAGGTTGCCCCGAACGATGCCTTTCGCAGTGCATTTCCAAGCTTGGAATTCAGCATTGGATCCTAGATGAACTTACAGGCATGACACCTCTGGTGAAATCGGTGGGATACCCATACTCGTTGCTCATATGGGTGTTCTTCAGCACGCTCTGTAGTTCCGTCACCGCGCCTGCGGCCTCCGTCGGAGAGCCAAGGAGGAATGCGGAGGCCGCAGCAAGCAGCGATCGGGAAAGCACCATTGTATATGCTTGGAGCTGTAGTCCAAAATAAAAGTACCCGCGGCAGTATCTAAATGAGTAGAGGATCAAGATAGTCTATCTGATATAGCAAAGTATTGAACAGACAAGAACGGGGGTTGGCGTTCGGTCCCGGGTGATTGTTGTCGATCGAAACAAAGCTTGGGACAACTCGGAGAAGCGCAAACGGCCAATCGCAGCCTCACGTGGTGGTCCAGCCCTCATTATTATATCAGCCACCAGATAGCGCATAACATCATCCTGAAACTCGAGGAGTAGGCGTTTATAAGCTTTACTATCTATTATATGAAGAACTAGTTGGTAAAGAAAATGATCAACAGGTTTAAAAATGCTTCGAAGGCCAACACGCGTGTAAAGAATTAAGCCAATCGCGCAAACGCTAATCAGGTATCATCTAAACCATAGAGTTCATCAATATAACGAAAAGCAAGCTAGTGCATCTAAGTAGAATGAGGGCCCCTCCCATTACGAACGATCGACAGTAAACGTCCAGCGGAGCTTTGGAGTCGTCTCTCAGACCTCGCGAATTGAAGGTGGCCGAGAGTTGCTTTGAGAATCCTGCGTACTACTGCGTCGGAGACTCAGATTGCCAATGCGCTGCACGAGGTTGCTACCCACTGCATCGACAGCACCCTTTGGCGCCAGTAGAGTAGGTCCTTGCGCGGCCGCCTCTTGTACCCTAAATAGCTTGACTCCAGTGCCATTCCACACTCCAACAGTGCCAGGTGTGGCACCTGACGCGGACCCAACAACCATTTCGCTCGAGAAGATGAATCCCCAGAGCAAAGATTCATACCAACCCATGGAGAGGGCCGACCATTCGAACGAATGGACACGAACGGGCGAGGGTTCTGAGACGATGACCTTAACCATTGGCTCCTCCACAAAAGTAGGAAGGTTTGTGATCAGCGTGCGCGCTTCCGGGCTGGAAGTAGACTGGAAAACTGATTCAGGCACGTGGGGCATGATGGCTGAAATGATGGTGAGGATCGTGTGTAGCGGCAGCTCAGGCAACCAGGATTCAAGCTATGATTTTCCAGTCAGCAAGTAACGTGCTTGACGAAAGGGAGTCTTGCTTACCCAGGTAGCAGTCGGCGTGAATCCACTCGAGGACGCAAGGAAGGCTGCGGACATACTGCTTTGGCTGGTCATGCTGTTCTGTCTGGAGAAGGTGGGCTGTCCGGCTGGCATCTTGCCACGTGCCTTTTCAGACATCCCTCGAAGTTGAAGGGGAACGCTTTCGTCAACGACAGAGGATATTGATTGCCGTCGAGAAGTTGGCACTGATGAAACAGATGAAACATCATGGGCCGGCGATTTCTGCGCCTCACCTTCATCGTCGGAATCATCTCCGCCAATTGCGAAGGGACTATTCTCTTCCGGAATGCGACCCAGCGATGCGCGTGCACTAGAGGGAGCTTGCGTGTCTTCTTCAGTCGGTGAGAGGACAGGGCTTGCAGCAAATTCGTTCCCTCCTGACTTTCGCCGCTCATTTTGGCGTTCTATCTCCTGCTGTCCGCTCTCAAGCGTGAATTCGCGCACAGCCTCGAAGCGTCTGCGATTCTTGAGAATAGAATAAACAAGATATGGGTTGTCTAGGTCGAGTTAGCAAGTCAAACGAGACGAAACGTATGCAAGCTTATCGTACTTGTGAATTGATGCTCGAGAATAGAATTGATCGACTCAAGCACGGATGCTAAAAGGACGTGGTTCGTCTCGTTAGCGAGAAGGAAGCTGGGTGCCGACATTGAAGAAAATAACTGCAGCAACTTTGAGCAGGACGCGGGAGACAGATGTTCAACGTGTGCGGCGATGTTGTTGATGATTGCCAGAAGCGCGGGATAGACAGCCGTCAATTGTCCTTTGCTGGCAGTGATCAAAGTATGGATAGACTATACCGCTGTCAGTCTCGAATGTGCGAATATGGACGAGAAGCGACATACTGTGATCAGGAAGTCTGCATATGAACCCTTGAAGCCTGGAATCCGGATACTTTGCGGAAGGGTTTCTTGAGCTTCAAACTTGAGGTTCAAACTCTTGCCAAAATTGGGCTCCACACTCATTGTCTGCAGAATGAAGATGCACATCCTAACCACACCCTGCTTAGAGGGGTCGGATTTGTACACTATGGCATAGAACAGACATAGGATAATGAAATCGTGGGAGCGGTTCGAATCGATGATGAACGACCTGAAGCGTTTGTTGCACTGCAAGGCCTCCCAGAACAGGATAAGCATCTCGGGTGCCCATTTTACAGACTTTTGACTCCCAGGAAGATATGAGTTGGTGACTTGCATCTGCACATTGAGCTGTCAGCAACATACGTACTGCAAGGCAAATGTAAGCTTACTGGCTGATTCAGGATTCGGGTCATGCCATCCACGAGAAATTGAAAGTCTTGCGGTCTATGCAGCCTGCCAAAATAATGGCGATAGTAGTTCTTCGGAGGGGCCCCGCGGCCGTCCTCGGGCACGGGATATAGAAGGAGCACCAGAAGAAGCTGCAAACAGTAGATGACCAAAATTTGTTTCGGATCTTTCCACACAACATGATCATACGGTACTCTCCAAGAGGCAGGGTTGTATTTAATCGCCTATACACCAATCCAAGTCAGACACAGGCCCGTTTCTTAGTAGATACCAAATGACATACCGTGTTTAGTAACGAGCACAGCAGAGTCAAGACTGCCTGCTTGTCCGGGCAAGTTGTGATGTACGTGATCGCCCTCACACCTTGCACGGGAAGTAGATCTCAAGCGCAAGTCAGCATGAAGCCAGCGTCAGATGTGACGGCCAAGACTCACTTGAAGGCATGTACATCGCTTTCCCGGTTAGAGTGAGCAGTAGCCGTAGGACCTCGCAGCGGTTACTTTCCAGCTCCTTGGTCGACCCCATTGAAGTATTGCATCCCACTCCACTTTGCCAGATCGACCAGGACACTTTAGTTTTTGCAGATGACAGCTTCGGGATCGTAAAGTTGGTATAGAATAGCAGATCGAGGAGGGTGTCGATCAGCTCCTCAGCGAGTGGCTTCGCATCTTCCAACTCAGCAGCCCGCGGCGAGGCCGAATCCCGCTCTTCTGCCTGTGCTTCATCGAACAGCACTTCTGGAGCCACCTGCGCCTCCCGGGTCTTCTTCTTGCGACGGGCCCAGAAGAACTTCTCCTCCCATTCCTCCAGATGCTCTGCCTCGTAGATGTATGGGAGTAGACGGGTGAGGATGCGGATACAGTTGAGCGCATCGCGGTCGGGCGCAAGCTCCGGGTCTGGGAAGGAGGGATGGTTTTTCAAAACAGTGAGGCGCGAAGTGACGGAGAGTAGGAGGGTCTCGAAGTTCGATAAGGCATGATCGCGCGTGCGCCGGATGTCAGCCGGGGTGAACAGGCTGAAGACATCCTCCGTCG